AAGTTTACCTAGTTAGCAACACACACTGTATGTGTAGTTAACAAATAGAATATAACGTTGCAATGAGCTGCCACTGTTTCACCCAGGTTTATTATAGTTGTAAATGATTAGTATTTGAGCTAATAGATGGAAAGTTATCTTAGATTTTTTAAATTCACTCTCTTTTACTGTTCACATCATTTATGTTTAAAGCATCAATAACACATACAGTATGAAGCAGAACAATACGCTAGTGCAAAATGGGCGTGGTGTTCACTTGGGTTCATATAAAAAGCACTTCTAAGGAGCAGGTTGGATGACCCAGAATGATGAACTTAGATGATGGAAGCAGTGAAAGCATGCAATATCTTGATCACCGGACCCAACCAGGGCATGGGCTTAGAAACTGTTAAGCAACTCTTGGAGGATTCTTGTCAAAAAGGTGATATTTTTTTGCATAACCCAGATAGATCAAAGTCTGAGGTGAGTTATAAATAACTAATACAAATAGAAAACACCAGGATAAACCCAAATGTGAATTGTTTAAATTATGCATATTATTAAGAGAACTGATGAGAAAGCATCCAAGTGTTATCACTATCATACATCTTGCTAAATGTGCATGTGTTGTTCTTAGTGCATTTAAAAATTTTCACTAGATTTTTTTTTTTCATAAGGATGTCCCCTGTGGTGCAGCAGTAAAAGTTAATCAGTGTGTTTGAGTCAATGTCAATTTTTTTCAGCCTCTACTGGAAGTAGAGATGTCGACAGGCTACTCTGACTACTGGGTCTGTATGGTAGGAAATGAAGAAATCACCAAGATGTGGTCACCAAGGAGCTTGTAGCTTTTGACTCTTTGAACCTCCACTCTATTGATACAAATAGGAGTGAGTTTGCCTCTCTGTGTCTCCCTGTAATCCACAATCATCTTGTTTTGCTGACATTCAGGGAAAGCTTATTGTCAAGTCAATCAAGTCACGATTATTTATATAGCGCTTTTTACAATACAGATTGTGTCAAAGCAGCTTTACAGTATTAAACAGGAAAATAGTGTGTCATAGGAACCAAAACTCCATTGTTCTCCTCTGGCCAGACAAAACCAGCGGTTTAATTCCAGGCTGCAACACCATGATATGAGTGAATGAATGTGTGGTAAATTTGTCCCTATAAACAGTCCTTTGAGTTGCCTGATTGTCTGCAGGTGGAGGCAATTGAGTAGAGAATTTGCATTTGCAATTTGTGTGTTTTAGGAACACAGTTTTTGGATATTTTGACCTTTCTCCATTACTTGTCTGCCTATTACATGTATAGAAAATAACTCCCCAGGTACCAAGATGGCCACTGAGTGAAGAGATTTTTCTTCAACGCAGATGCAGTACAGTATTGTGAAGGTACCCAGATCCCCAAGGCTCTGATATTTATCAGCAAATTCTTTGTTTGGTTTATTCGTTGCAGTATATTTAACAGATTTTTTTCTTTAAAGTAGCTGGAAAGGTTAAATTACTTCAGGGGATGTTCCTTTTGAACAACCTATGGACAAATAAATACCTTGCTCAAGGTCACAGTGGCGATAATGGAGCTACTAATAAGCTTATCGGTTTCTGGGTCATACCTTCCAGATTTTGCTTTTAGGATTGTTGTTTTCTAGCCCAGATCTTTAACCTCTACTTTTACTCCTGATTGCATTTGTGATTTGGAATAATACATTACAGCTTTTGGCAGGGGCGACCCCAAGGGGTGGTCTGGCCACCCCTAGTCAGTGTTGCCAACTAATTTTCAGGGGAAGTTGCTAAAGGAAGGTCGATTTGTTGCTAAAAGTTGCTAAATGACACGATGTCATTGCGCGGTTACGTCATTGCGTAATCACGATGCAAAATTGTCACTGCATCAAATCTCAGCAAAAAAAAAAAATTAAATATTTTAATTTAGATGTGTTTATAAAATAATATAAATGCATAATATAATATTAAAATATAAATAACTAATTTTAAATACAACATTGA